AGCAAAGCGGATTAGTGGCGTTGCCCGCCTGTTCCTTGCCGTGCCAGGAGCCTGTGCCAGTGGCTACCCCTGTGCAGAAGTGCAGGTTGCCTCTAATGGGTTCAGCTCCACATGACTCGCAAGCCAGGCTTGTGCAGCCTTGTGGAGGGGCAGCCCCACCTGGCACAGGCTCCGGGTAGTTACTGCTGGTATAGGGCATGACTGCCAGCTACATCTTCGCTCCTTTCCTTGGCCGACAAAGGTACGTTGGCACCCGCAGCTGCTCTGAGCGAGGCGGCTCTGCTTGGATTCCGGTGACAATAGCGTGAAGGAGCTTAAAGGCGTGTTGTCAGACGTCATCCATTTGGGGGGGGGTTCATGCATCAGCTGCTGTTGTGCATAAACGTTACCATTGGTGTCAGAGTCGTTCCAGCAACAGAAGGTGCTTCCCATCTGTAGATGCTGTGTGCGCTGCAGTTATTGATGTTCGAGTAAAAACACAAAATAACTCTTTCTGCTTCTAGGGAAAAGTGCCTTTTAAATGCTGTCCTTGGGTGTCCCAGGAGGATATCGCAGTTCAGTTGAGAATTGCTTCAGATTCGTGGAGTAATTCAGTCTGAACAGCTGAGATGCTGCTGTGAAAAGAGCTGGCCTTTTTTTTCAGTCATGTGGTGGTCAAACTTTCTAATGTACAAGTGTTAATGGGCTGTCAGATAATCACTTGGGCAATGCTTTTGTGAGAGAGAAAGTAGGAGGGCAGAACTTGTAGGATTCACTTTTGTGCAGGTTGTTGGGATGTATCATCTGCTTCAACACCTGCCCTGTGTACCTAGCGCTGCGGAGCCCCCTGTTTGTTGGGGCTCATTGCGTGTGTATTTCCCCTGCTTCTCTCTGACAGCTTGTTTGTTGTCTTTTGCTTTTGGCCTTGCTTTTTGTTTTGGCACTAGATACTTTATACTCTTATGTATTGAAAACAGGCCTCATCCTGTTAAAGACCTACCCCAAACTGCATCTACGATGGAGGCAGTGAAGGGGATCCCCCACAAGCGGGCTGCCGGAGGCAGGGTTCTTGATCTGGTCTTTCAGTTCTGGAAGTATTGGGCATTTGTAATGGAAAGGGGAGGTGCAGACAAGTGATTTAAGTTGCTAACCCATTCAAAATTTGACAGCTTTTGTTAGGGTCGACTAAGGTCGTCTTTTTAGCAGCACTCGGGTTGGAGAGCTTGCTTGGGGAAACACTAAACATTGTGAAGGCATGTAAAGATCCAGCACTCCTTGAGGGAACATATTTGACTGCTGTGTAAACAGCCTGTGTATTTAAGGTGGCCCTTAGCTAATTCTAGTAATTAATATCACTGTTTTATTCAGCCCAAATTGACGGACAAAAAAGGGCGAGAGGGACTCATAGCCCTCTTCTGCTGGTGTAAGGAATAAAATGTGTTGAAGCATTACAGGTTGCTAAGTCTTTGTTATTGCACAGTTAAGAGCAGCTGCAAAAGCAGCGTAAGCAGCACCTGCTGCACTAGGGGAAAGGAATCGGATGGAGCCCAGGCAGGGCCACCTGCCTTCCAGCACTGCTGGACTTGGATCTCTGCTGGGAAGCTGCCACGTGCTAATGCTCTAGGACTGATGTGCCTCTTTCCACCACCACCTGGCAGCCCAAGGCAGGACCTTGAATGTTCCAGGAACTGGCTGTAGATTATACTGGATGTTCCCTACCTTGTGCAGACTGGCTGTTTTTTGTGCCAACAGTGTCTCTCACTCTTTGCCCCATTCTGGGATACAGCTGCCCTCTCACCCTTTTCTGCCCAGTGCGCCCCCCTCCCCACCACTTTTGAATTCTTTCCGGTTAATTAGGAGGGGATTATTTAAGCCTATCCAAAAAATATGGGCATATACGTGTGTTATTGCTGTGTGACCTGAAGCAAAATGCATTGCATCTGAGAGCTTGTCTGTGTCTGTACCAACCATGCAGTTTGCCCAGTAAAACATAAAAGGGCTGTTCAAAAAGTATTGAGACTGATGCTATAGGAAACAAAATATTTTATTTACAGGGGTTTCAGCTTAATCTCCTTTTGAAGTATGCTCCTTCTGTAGCCACACGCTTCTCCCAACATTTCTGCCATTGTTGGAAGCACCTCTCATAAGCAATTTGTGGAATCGCTAAAAGCTGCTCCGTTGTACTTTGTATGGTTTCCACATCACAAAGTCTTCTTCTTTCCAAGGTTTTATTTAGTTTAGGGTTGCATGGGGCCATATCAGGTGAATATGGAGGCTGTGGCACTTTTGGGATACGGTGTGACTTTCTTCTCTTCCCACAACTGAGAAAATCTTGAAAGGAAGAAGATTTTGTGATGTGGAAACCGTACAACAAAATGCAACAGAGCAGCTTTTAGCGATTCCACAAATTGCTTATCCAAGGTGCTTCTAACAATGGCAGAAAAATTGGGAGAAGTGTGTGGCTGCAGAAGGAGATAAAGCTGAAAGACCTGTAAATGATGCTGCAAGAAATAGTCTTAATACTTTTTGAACAGCCCTCCCACAACAATCCCCACCTGTTGGGTATTTCCTGGACATCACAGCTACAGCATCGCTTCAGCTCATCATTTTTGTTTATTATTCACCCTTCCCCTTGCCCTGTGTTGTCTGACTGTATTGTAAGGTCTTTGTGGTAGGGACTTTCTGCTACTCTATGCATGTTGTTAGTTGTCATCTTCATTTCAGCTGAACATTAACTGGCAAGTTTGGAAGAGTGGTTAAATTACTGAGGAAAATCCAGTACCTGTGTGTGTGTGAAGGAAAAGATGGGCCCTGTTTATGGGTAGTGTCGCTGCTTCAGTTTCCTCTAGCTTACGTCCCTTTTGACTTTTACATTTCAAACAGTTTAGAAAAAAGATCCAGACAAATCCATTTGTTTTGAAGATGTATGCACACTCCATATTCAGTTATTTCTAACCAGTTCTGGAATACCTTGGCTTACGTAGGTGCTCAGGACCAGAACATGTTGGGGTGTGAACTGTGGGAAGCCAGACATGCCATCATTGTAACTCTTCTTCTGGTCACTTCTTTGTAGCTAGTTAATGCAGCATGTAAGACATGTAAGTTTACTCCCTTCTAGTAAATGAGGGGAAGTGGTAAAAGAGAACTGTGGCGTTTAAATCAGTGTTAAGATGGGTATGCATACACCCAGAAACTAGGCTTTTACAAGACTGGGCAAACTTGGGAAGGTGTGGGGTGTCCATACATAGCTTTTCTCCAAGGAAGCTACTGTGTTCCTGGAAAAATGACTGGGAGTTGGTCAGGTAGCTAATGAAGAACACAAAAAGGCTTTTGTGTCTGAGAGCAGGTTTTCAGGATTACAACAGTACTTGTATTTCTCTCTGAGCAGATGAAGGGTGTGTTTAAAACTGCTTGGGCATGGAATGCAATGGGAAGAAGTGGTGTTGGCTGCTTTGCAGAGTTGTGCAATCTGATGAATGCTGTAAACAATAATTAAGTGCATGTTCTCTGTTGTGGCTTTCAGGATTTTGGCATAGGAAGTGTATGGGGCGGGTGACATCTTTTCTTCACTACAGCTACTCTAGATATTCTGGCTCCAAACAAGCAATAGTGCACAAAAGCTGTTTAATGATAAAATTGCTAGGGGGGTTTAAATAATTTACAAAAGTTCCCCCTCTCAGGAGGGAAAGATCCGTGCATTTAGACAGCAATTCTACACTACAGCTTCCTTCTGCATAACTTAAAGGACCCAGCAACACTCCTTATTATTTTAATAAAACTTTGCCTAACTGTCTGCATAAGCTTCAAGCAGGTCTTGCTTACAACCAAGTAAGAGTTCTGTAAACGTGGGTTTTGTGATGGACGTTTCAGACAACCTTAACTGCAGACATATCTCTTGTAAATGAAAGAGTAAACATGGATACATCATGGAGGTGACTTCATTTAAGGTCTTGGCACAAGCCATCCATGCACATTTCAGTGAGCTCATACATTTTGGAGCAAAGTTTGTAGGCCATGCTTACGGGGGAGAGACTTAGGGGTTGTGCTGGACAACAAGTTGAATGCAAACTGCCAGTGTGAGCCTGAAACAGAAATTGGGTAACGTTGCTGCAGTCTAGCCAATAAACTATGAGGCGATGCAATGGTTGGAAATTAAAGTTAAAAATCTGCACGTTATAATAAGCAAGGATTGTTTTAACAGTGTGGGTTGTTTGTTTTTTCCAGTGGTTAGGTACCGTGTCTCACAGTGAATTCTCTATCGTTGGTCACTTTAAATCCAACATTGAATTAATTACTAGTTCAAGTTCAGTAACTAAGGTTGAACTAGACTGTATTTTTTAGGAAAAACAGCAGTGTCCTGTGGTCCATATTATGCAGGAGATGATGCATTCCCTTCTAGCCTTAAAATGTTATAACTTTTGAATGTAGCACCCAACTAATTTTGTGTAGTAGAATAAAATCTTAACAAGGTGCCCTGGGAATGACATCTGATTTGACCTTGCGCACAAAACAGCTAGGCCTTTTTCCCCGTATGGAGAGAAAATTCACAAGTGGTTTTAGTGGATAAATCTGAAGAGCTTTTTTCAGCTGCAGTCAGGTATAATTTATGATAAACTCTCTGAATTTCGTGTGCAGTTTTAGTCCGTGGACGTTAAAATTGTATGCTGCATTTTAATAAAACTTGAGCAATGATAATTGTCAAACGAAACAAGCTTCATATACTTTGTGAGTTGCACTGGCTTTAGATCATTCTCTGGGACTTTTGAAAAAACAGTCAATTTGGTATTTGTTTAGATTACTTCTGTATACAATGCCAGACGAACCTTTCAAAACAGAGTTTTCACATCATTGTATATTGCAAAACCTAGACTTCAGAGTGCAGATCCAAGCATGTCTGAGATGGTTATTTTTCAGAACAAGGAAGTACAGATTATACTTCGTCCTGGATGGAAACAACAGAAAATCTTATCTCTATGATTGAGTGATACATCCAAGTAAGGAAAGCCAGGCTCTTTTTTTTCCCCTTATCAATATACATGTTGTATCCCGTTGTTGTTACTTTGGCAAAAAGACCATCGGCAGTACTGGTAACTAGCTCTAAGTAGTGCCAAAATTATCTTGTTAAGTAACAAACTAAATACAAAAGTTATTGTAAAAGCAGGTAGTCACACCCTCTAGGTGTCTTTTGTCAGTGAAAACCTCTGTTACCAGGTAGGCCTAATTTATCATAGGAGTGCCCTTCACATAAGCATTTTAATTTAATTTTTCACAAAGAGCATTGATGAAAGACTAATCAAATGCATAATAATAGTATGTGCTAGAGAAGATACTCGACTCTATCAGGATAAACTATGTGGGTCTTAGAGAGAAAAGATTGTATTAATAATCAAGATTGTAAACTGTTGACTCTTAGGCTGTATCCTTTCCCCAGCAGAATGCAAATTTATTGTCCTGTTGCTGGTCCCAGTATATTTCTGCAATAAATCTCTTTGAATTATTGGTCGTAAAACAGTTGTTCTAAAACATTGTAATAGATCATTGCATTAATCTTGTATAGCTTTTATGAATATGCTTTTCTGCTTTGCTATTCTGCTTTCATTTGTTTCTACCTGATGAAACTAATGAAGAAGGTAGATTAATTAATAACAACTGATTGATACTGTCAGTTGAGAGAGCTTAATGCTAGCAAGTTTGGACATCAAGACTGCACAAATTCATAGAGAGGTGATGACCCTACTGCCTTTCCCCAATATTGTAAAGCCAGATAAGTAGTTTCCTATGTTCTTTCTAACATCTCCGTGCTTCATGGGCTCTACCGGCTTGCGTGGAATTTGTGACTCTTAATGGAGTGTTCGGACAGTTTTGTTGTGCCCTTGTTCATTTGTGCTTTAAAAGTTAAATCCAGCAGATTCTCACCTTGGAAAGGTCACCAAGTGCCATGGAATCCTGGAGTACAAGGTTAATTTGGAAAAGGTTGGATCTGTACAATGGGGAAACACATTTTTCTACTTCCTTTCCCACTGTGATGTGCTGGATTATACTGGGCTGGTCTGTTTCAGTTCTCTTTAGAGAGAAAGAGGCATACTCCTTTCCAATCTCTTATTCACCGTCCTGAAAATTAAGGGATTTTGTTCGTGGTCCCTACTGAGAAAGTGAAGCAAGATCTACTGTTGGCTGACACGTTTCTTCAAGGCTTAGCGAATGACATGGTCTGGTGGAAGAGGTAGAAAAGTGAAAGGGTCCGTTTTACCACATCTTAAAAGAATAATGGTACTGAATCTGTAGTTCATTATCAATTGAAATGCAAGGTGGTTCCTAAGGAGATCTAATATTTAGTTTCTTTTCCTTTTAGCAATCTGTAAAGACACTGTGGGTTTTGTCTGTAACAGCACAGGATTCCAGAAGAGCAAATTAAAGAGGTTTGGCTGTGGACTGTACTGGGCGTAGCACAGCAGAACACTGACTTGTTATCTTTTGAACCTAGGACTTAGTCTAAACTTTCTTTTTTCTTAGCTGTAGCCTTTCTAGACTTTCTCAAGCCATTGAGTGCAAGACGATTAATGCAAAGAATTGGCAGGAATTGTGCCTGAGACTTCCTCCCCCATCCTTTTTGGGGGTGACTGGGGCCAAAGACTCTTAGTTACTTAGTTGCAGTATGGTATTTAACACGACATGGTGGTTGCAACTGTTAGATCATCATTACCAAGTATAAGGTAGGCTAGTTTTAGTTAAAATTTCTGTTTCTGTGATAACATGTGAATCCTCAAGGAACAAAATTTACTTGGGCCCAAAGCCCAGGCTTTGCTCTCTCCCTGTCTGTAATAATAGCACAGCACCTGTGCTATATCTTATAAAGCAGTAAGATTGAAGGTATTATCTGGCAAACCATCAGGACTAATCATGAAAGCTGTGTCACAGTTCTAGGCTTTTTTTTTTTTTTTAGCTGTAGACTTTTTTCATACAGAGAATATCTCATGGTCATATTTCCCTGCTGCCTGCAGAGCTCCCTATACTCCCACCCCATTTATAATCTAATAAGTCCTCTTCTACAGGAACAGCTACTGACATGGAAAGATGCATCGAGAAAGCTGCTTAACATATCTGGCAGTTACTGCAGTCTAGCTGGAAATGAGGCCTTTGCACCATACAAGCAGGCAGATCTGTTCACTGCTGGCCAGTGGCCCGTAGAGTGCAGCTTACGCTCTCCAGAACTGAAAAGGGCTGGGGAGCTCAGCATTTATATCCCTGCGCGCTGGATATTATTCACCGCATTTTTGCTTTCATCTGTGCTTTTTCTCCATATTTAGTTCTGAAGGGATTTTTAGTCATTGCTATCTGTTGGTTGCATTTGAAACCGGTGTTATAACTATGCCCTTCTGAAAGCTTAGAAACCCAAATTTCAGAGGTCATTAAACATTAATCTGCTTCTTCAGAGTTAAGTGCTAGTGACTGCTACCTCCGTGCCTAAACCACAGGGCGAGTGAGACAAGTTCAGTCTTCCATGGCCTAGTTCTGTTCTGTGTTAGTTCACATAACGTTTATAGCTGCAGTATCCGGACACCTTCTAATAGCATGCTTAGCAGTGGGGCTCGCATCTGTCACGTTTTGTTCTGTCTCCCTCTTCCCCAGCAGCCAGCAGAGGTGAGCCTGCCCCTGGCCTCTGGCTAGCTTCTTTGAGGTGGCTCAGGATGGGGAGCTGGACTGCTGTACAACTGCAGGGAGAGGGAAGGATTCCTCCTCTGAACTCTGTGTTGGCTGTTTCGGTCAAGAGGCTTCAGGTGTTTGTGACCCTTTCGCCAGGCAGGAGGGGCAGAGTTCAGACCCTTGTGTGTCCACAGCTCCTTGACAAGCAACTGGGCTGTGCTCTGGGGCTGCTGTTGGGCTGCTACACAGTGGTGTTGGAAGTGGTAGGAGTCTACCAGTCTGTGATTGAGCTGGGATCACTGGTCACTGACCAGTGGTCACTCTTGTTGCTGGGGAGGTAGAAGACTCCAACTACCACTTTCACGAGGAGCTGGTCTGTGCTAGGCAGTGGGTGAGCTGAGATGGCTTCGTTCCTGATATTTTCGCCAGAGATCCAGTCCAGATTGCAAGGGGTTACATGGGTTGGGTTAGAGATGATCTGTGAAAGTCCTAAGGGACAAGTTTGGGGGGCAAGGTTTAAGGTTTTGCAGCTGTAGCCTTGTCAGTGTGTGCGGCAGAATCCCAGGAGGACGAGTCTGGTGTATTTTACCATCATGTCAGACATTTTGTGCACGCTCTTTAAGGTGTCCTTCAGTCTATTGTAGCCTGTGAATAGGAATAAAATCTGTTAGTTCCTGAGTGTTGCTGCTTAGTGCCAGAGAGCTACAACCCCAATAACAAACTAGGTGGAAGGAAGAGCAGCTTATTTTATTACTTTGCTATGTAGGTCCGTGGGGGGAGGTAAATGCTTGCTTGACTTTTTTTTTGTTTTTGCTGCTGACAAATAGTATGTAGTGTAGAAACAATTCCACAAAGCTATTGGGCCCAGAGTTTCAATTGCAGACTGCTCCATTTCATCTCCACTGTCTCTGAGAAGGAAAAGCATTGTGTGCTCTCCATAATTTTCTGTAGGTTCTCTCTGAAATTTTCTTTGCAGGCCCAAGTTATCATTCACAAATCTGTTGTTTTTCTGCATGTCTTATCTGAATTATTAACATCCTGATGGAACTAAATGAGTACATTAGCAGCACCTCTGACTCTGCATGATATCAAGAATGTTAATAATTCATCACTTATTACAGCTTTATCCCTATAGGTTAGCATGAGTGGGAATTTAGTTCACAACATTAATAAGGCCTTTTTTCTTCTGTCTTGAAGATCTGTTTTTTTCTCATCTGCCCATAAATATTCAAACAGCATCAGGGTTTCTGGAAATGAGAATGAAGAAAGGAACATAAGCTATATTAATGACTGTTCATAGATTCATAGATGTTAGGGTCGGAAGAGACCTCAGTAGGTCGAGTTGAAGTTGAATAAAGACTCGATCTGGCTTTGTAACAAGTCTTGGGTGTAGTGAGGGATGGACTATTAGGGTTGTTGGAGGAGAAAATTCCCAAGGCAGGTCAAGCATGTTTAGAAACCTGAAATGCGTATGCAGTTGCTGAGTTTTGAGTGGTAAGTCTACACCAGTACAACTGCTGTAAGATGTTGTGGTGTTAGGGGGCTTTTTGCAATTATGCCAAAGCAGCTGAGACTGGCCACTGTCAGGGTTCTCAAATGGATTAACTGTCTCTACTTCTACAATGCACTTGACTTCCCGAATTAGCACATTAGCCAGGGAAGTCCTCAGATGGCAGGCTAGACATATTGTTGGCAGCCAGCCTCAGAACTCAACTGGTAAACGGCAGTTTTCATAGTTTCTAGGGTCGGAAGGGACCTGAGCAGATCATCGAGTCCGACCCCCTGCCCTGGCAGGAACGAGTACTGGGGTCAAACGACCCCAGCAAGGTGTTCATCCAACCTCCTCTTAAAGCCCCCCAGGGTAGGGGCCAACACCACCTCTCTTGGCAGTTGGTTCCAGACCCTAGCCGCCTTGACCGTGAAGTCGCACCTCCTGATGTCTAGCCTGAATCTCCCCTCTGCCAGCTTGTAACCGTT